CGAGTGACGTCAGAGCATCTCATTAGAACCAGCAAGGGAGTGTGACTCATGGATGTTGTTATCAGTGTGATTAAAAGTGCTGATGACTAATGTACGTATGTACGAGTACGTGAACATAAGCATGCGTTCATGTTTTAAATTGAATTTGTTTAATTTTATCGGATTAATTTTCTAATTATTAGTTTTATATATTTTTTATATCATCTTAACTTTTTTGGAAACTGCCATCTAAATTTTTGTAATTTGCTTCGTTTATTCCCATACATACATAGAAATAATATGGGTGGGAATTCTCAGATAAACTTGAGTAAACTGTTGGCTTATATAATACATTTATCAAAGAAGTTTGGTAAAGTAAGTCCCACCACATCAGAAGGGAAATTTTTTTGTTGTGAAATTTCGGTCTTAACAATAGTACTCTGTAGATCCTGATCCAAATTTTATGCTATTAATTCTCTTAATTCCGTCAATTCGGGATAGACAAAAGTCAATCCCGAAATTTCGGGATTACAAAATTTCAATCCCGAAAAACCGATGTTAAGAATTTAATTAGCAGCTTACGGTAAATTATAAATAATATGCACATACACATATGTTTTTGTTTTTAGACATAATATAGATAGTCATATCATTTATGGATTAGAAATAAAGGCTTTGAAGATACGGAACGAGATACAAATAATGCACTTAATAAAAAATGCCAATAAATATTTTGCTTTAATTAAATTATATTTTATTATATATCTATATTATTTTTATTAAATTTTTAAGTTCATAAAGAATTTCGATTTTTTTCGATCAACATATCTGCTCTTAAGCTTAAACTTTTTTAAAATACACACATGCATAACAATAAAAATTTAAAAAATGATTTATCGGTATATCGATATTAGAGCTAATCGCTTAAAATATCATCGCTATTAAGTATTCACTTGCTGTGAAATTATTAACGATCTAAATGCTAATTATCGCAAACGAGATTTCAATTAAACGCACTGAATGAACACAATGTAATATTCGCACACAATTAAGTGTATGTATATATGTGTTTATATATATGTATAAAAAAAGCACATATTTAACATCGGGGCAATGATCGTCAGTAAAAACCAAATGTACACAATATATAACATATATTTTTGGGGTTTTATTTAAGCGGAAGAAGTTTTTTGTTTTTTCTTATATACCTATTTTAAAAATTTCACTTTCAGCACAAATTGCGGATGCCAAAATTATGTAGGTATTAAGTGTAAAATTTAAATTATTTAATTTTATTTTGCAACATAGACGATGAAGCGAAATAAAGAAGGCAACGGGCTCTATTCGGAAGAAAAAAGTGTAACTAGTGTATAGTGGATAGATTCAGAATTGGCAGGAAAACATCTACAAATTCAACATTCATCGAATTTAATTTGGCTATGAAGTGCTCACAGAAAACGACAAGCTCGAAGAAGAAACTATATCTTGAAGGTACTTCCCATAATAAGAATGAATATAGATAAATGTAAATGCAATTAAATGATCTAGCGTCTTACTAACTTCATCATTACTGATAGTTTTAACTGCAGAGTTTAGTCCATTTTGGAGTAGCCTAAACAATAACAGTCTCATAATTTACTATACCAACAAACAGTGCATCTTTCAGATGATGATTTAGACAGTAAATTGTGTCTCTCGGGGACGAGAAATTTAACTTGATAGGTTGCCACAAAAAGCAATACTAATATGTAAATACTTGCCTTGCCATAATATCTGTTACTAAGTCAATGCGTTTAAAGCAAATTATGCTCAACAGACTTCAACAGCAAGGAACTTCGTCAGCGATGAAAAAATCTGCACTGTAGAAAAAGTTTTTAATCAGCAAAATGACAAAATCTACAAAAAAGCTATCAAAGACACAAAAAAAATGTTGTTCGAAGGGTTCAACTTCGGTCACCATCCATCTGCTGTAATCATTTGAGAGGGAGTTCTCTGTAAGGGCTACTACTTTCTTTTACTTTCTGTGAAAAAGAGGTTAAAGCTGGAGCAAAAGTGTACCAGCAGAATCTTTTAGATGTGGTGAAGCAGTTAAACACTGCTCTCTTTGATGGAGATCATTCAATCTTCCAGCAAGATTCTGCTCCAGCGCACAAGGCAAAAATCACTCAGCAATGGCTTAAAAGAAATATTTCTGGTTTAGAATCTCATCAAAGAATCTTTGGTTAGTCAATACCAATAGAAAATGTACGTGCAGCTATTGATTATTGTTCGAATCGTTTGAGAGCTTGTGTGAAAGTAAAAGGTGATGTTTTATGAAAATGTTTACAAAAATGTTTTAAAAAAATGCAAATAACAACAACATAAAATTAAAAAAATAGTCTCACATGAGTAAAATTGAAGTAGAGCAGGCGCAAACTGAGTACGGAGCAAAGTATGGAAGAGCGAAGTAGCGGTGAGCAAGTTGAGAGCGAGGCAGCGCTGAGTTTTGAGCAGTGCAAAGCGAAGAAAAGCGTAGTGAAAAATACAGCTGCATGCTCTGCCAGCAGCTGAGCGGTGAAAATGGAAATATATAGCAGACATCCATATACATTTTTATACTTGTATATGTAGTTATAGGCGCCATTTTTTTCGTACCATTGCTGAGTACGCCGGTATAAAAAAATGTTCGCTGTTATTTTTAATATTTTTTTCTCCACAGCTAGCCGCTTTCGTGCGTAGTTTCATGCCAACTAACTACGCAACGCAGTTGTGTACAGGGCGTATGAGTAACACATATCCTTTGGCATGACACCTTAGTGCAACAGGGCGTATGCGCAACATTTGTAATGCAATACTCTTCTTTAGATTTTTATATGCAATTTTTACTAAGAAAACATATAGTACATATTTATATAGAATTTTTGGTAAAAAAAAATTAAAATATATTTATATTTATAATTTAAATAAATATATTTATATAAATAAATTTTTTTTTCAGATTATGTGGTAGTTTACAAAATTTGCAGTGTTAAACGCAATAAGACCAGAAGGCAATTTTGAAAAATTGCTGTTAATTTGTTAAATAAAAAACATAAAAGTTTACAAATTATGTATGTTTATAGAATATACATATGTGTTTACGTTCGTGATTATGTTATGACCAATGGGTTTACTAGCAGAATCAAATTTTGTGACAAAACAAAGTTGTGTATCCAAAAACAAATAAAAGTGTTATTCAAAGAAAGTTGACACATAAACTCTTTGAAAAATTCCGTGTTTGTGAGTGGTGTTTATGACTTTCTATTCGTAAGCTAATAATATAAACTTCCTGGAAACAGTTATGTTACATGTCGTCATTACAAATGGAAGTTAGTGACTGTTACCTAACTACTTAGTTCGTTTCCATACGAACTTAACCCCATCTTAGACACCAATTCTTTGTTAAGATAGCTACATGTAAAGCCATGTTCTATTCCATTATTTAGTATCTATTCATTTATTTCAGTCGACGTCTGACATAGAAGAAGTTGTATTCTTTGTATATTATGATACATAACACAAGTGACATGTGTACAATAGCAGATACTATTACATTGCATATTTGCTGTTGACTTGGCATGTAATAATAAAAAATATATTTACATATAAAGACACAAATATATAATATATATTGTGTGAGAAACGCACTTCAAGTTATTTGATATCTGCGGAAATTGTTTTTTTTGTTTGAGTTAAATATAAAATCATTTTGAAAATATATATATAATATCGTATGCATTTGTGCTCTTGTGAATTCTTCTGAACATTTTTGTAAAATTTGCATAACATTTTAATGGGTACACTTTACGCAGTTCAGATAAACTCGATGTGCAATATACCAATTGTTTCTCTTGTGACTCTTAAGCTTTCTCAGGTTTGTTAAAAAAATAGGAAAGGTTTAAAAAATCTTAGATTATATTATTTTTCAATTTGTCTCTATATTAATTAACTATTTGCCACTACTTTTTCTCTAACTTTACGTTTTACTACAAAGTGACTTCTTCCAATAGTCAACATTTAACTAAGGTCATTTCAACCGTCGTATTTTTTTTCTTCGTATCATACAAAAACCGCTCCTTACTAAGCAAAGCATAAACTTATTTTTATCATTTAAGGAATGCATTGAAAACGCTTCATTATTCTTTAAATTATCCCAGACAACGTCATTTATAGATAGAACTGATTTAAGAGCCATCTATCGAAACTAAAAGATAGGACGACGACTACGAGTTAATAGGCTGTGCTAAAAAACTGTGATTGTTTAATACTCCAAATACACTGGATGAAATATTTATATAAAAAATTTAAGTTCTACGATGAAGCATTTTCAAACAGTAAATTTGTACAAGTTTTCATTATATGGACAACTCAAATAGAAAAAAAAGTTGTCTTAAGTACCTTTTTAATTTAATAGGATATATTTTAATCAAATAAGAATAATTAAGTGCCAAAATATTCATAGCAAAAATATTTTGTATTGTATATTCAGTATATGAGAAGCATTATTTGTGTATACAAGGCTGCTGGTCAAAGCCCGAAATTATTTGGTGGGGTTCCGATATAAGAATATGATAATTAAGCTCTATACATATACATATGTAATAAGTAATAGTAAAGTTATATAGAAGATGTAAGCTTCACTTAAGAAATGTGCCTACAATACTGAAAACGCAACCAGTACGTATGAGTAACATCAAGGAGTTCTACTGAAAAATTAAAGCAAGTCTCTTTTGGCTTTTGGCTCACAGCTTAATTGGCACATAGCTCAATTAGATATTTATGAGTACCTTACTTGGCCGGGCAAATAATAATAGTAGTTTTTCGCACGTATTTAGTTTGACGAGTTGGAGCAGCAGGGCGTATGAGTAATTTTAATGTATTATCCTATCATAGATTTAGTCTTAGAAAATCACTTATATTGACTGTGTTCTAGTAAAAAAATTTATATATCCTACCCGGATGGCATACCACATCAGTATATATGTCTAAAAAATTGCACTCACCTTTCTTGATGCTCTAAGCCTTCCAGGCCGTCGGCAATAACGCTCTCAACAACATGATTTCGGTTGCCCAATAAATGTTGTCTATCCAAATCGATCTGAAAACCACAAAATTAATAAAAATATATTAATTTTGGTACTTATTAAAAACAATATCGTAAAAAATATTATCGGTTAGGTTTTGGAGAGTCGGTCAGTAGAGGTCTATGCAGAGCAGCTGAGGTAAGGATTGATTGATGACTGTATTAACAGAAGTCGGTAATTAAAATTAAAAATAAAATAATTAAAAACGTTAAGTTCTTCATTTTCAATTAAAAACTTTTAAAAGTTATAGTACCAAACGTCTATTAAAATTACTTTTAAGAAGAAAATCGTTGCATTTAATAAAATTTCCAATAAAAAATATGGCGCATGCTTACATTTTTAAAATTATAAATAATGAGACAAAAAAGTTGAACTCAATAATCTCAGTGAACTTATAACAACAAAAAATATTATACTTTTATCGCTCTACTCGATCGCTTCTTAATACTGGTTATGCGCTTACCATGCGTGTAAACAAGGGTTAAAAGTGAACAAACTGTGCGGCTGCCGAAGAAACGTGTTTTGGTAACACATTTTTAAATATAGAACAAGAATCAAATTCGACTTTTAAAAAAGTCGGAAGAGAAATTGCGTTTTGTGATTATTACATGGATTCTTATGTTGTTGTTTTTTTTAATTATGAACTTTATAAATTGTAACAGGTCGGTTGAAATCTTTTCTTCGCATTATAAATGGTGTCAAAAAGGCTGATAAAACAATTTAATAGGGTAGATTAACAAGTCAGTGACTTGTAAAATTTTTTTACATTATTTAATAAATAATTATTTTCTTTACTTAGAAGACAATAAAATGAATTTTCTCGACGAATTCTGACACTGAAACTAGCTCAAAAAACAGTGTGTCTTTTTTTTTTGGATTTTAGACCCATCATACCTATACTCTTTACATGCGTGTACTTTCGGAACTGAACCTTTATTTTTATTTATGGTAGATTTTGGTTGCATAATATTTTGACCATTCTTCTCCAGGGATTATAAAATTCATCTTAGCAGCATTGAATTTAAAAATATTGTTTTTTGCCATGGGAAGATAGCAACTATGGAGAGAGCGGCCTGGCAATTATGCTGATTAACGATTTCCGCTGAAATGATCTGGCCCTAAGACACAGTAAATAGCCAAAATATAACTCTGGATCAATTCAATAATATCTTTCACAGATTTTAGTGGCATAATTTATTTATATTAACATTTTGGAAGTGCATGAAAGGTTGCTTAGTAAACCAGACTATAATACTTCCGCTTTTGTTAAGACTTGCTTTACAAGAAAGCCTAGAATATTAGTACTAGGAAAATAATTACGATTTTGTCCAGGTTCAATTGTTATCAACCGAAAGTTTTTTTTGCAAAATTTGCTTTTGCACAGCAGTGTTTCAATTTAAGCTACAAAGCGTTAAATTAAAAAGAGATTGTTGTATCGAGCCGTTCTCGTAAGATATTGCGAATGAAATGTTAGCGTTTTTTCCATTTCTGTGTCTCCCTGCCCTTTCTCATCTCTACTCCCTACCTCGTCTGAATCGTTTTGAATTTTCTGATAACAAATACAAAGCTCAACAGGTTTGAAACCAACTTCAAGCGATTTTTTCAGCTTGTACATATAAACAAATTTTCCACAACAAAATTATAAACGATGTTCTGAAATCGGTTGTGGAAGCTGTTGCAGTCAGGTTTTAAACCCTCGCGAGAGCAGATTGCTAGCCAGGAACTCAACCCACAACGCAAAAGTGTGATAACAAAAAAAAATTCGATTAAGAAAAGTAATAAAAATATTATACAAAATTAAGTTTCTGTTCCAGAACGATCTAACGGCTGACATGCTGACACTTCGGAATTTTATCGGAGCGCGCAGTGTTACCATATTTACTTTATTTTCTTGCATGTGCTTGGGCATTGGTAAACAAGAATGCACGTTTGTCTGTATGTAAAATGTTTAGTTGGTTTTGCAACTCACCTGCATCTGTGAATAGGCGGACGATGTGACGCCGCCATAGCTGTTAAGGCTCACGCCGTTCATGTCGGCAAAACCGCTCTCTAAGTCCGAATTGTTGCCTTCCATGTCGTGTGGACTGTTGTCAGAATCGTCGTCAGCTGGAAGAAGGAAATATTTAAAACAAAATTAGTGGAAATTTAACACAAAATTAGCAATAAATTGCATAAGAGTGTGTGTGTGTGGAACTTAGCATTTACAGGAGAACTCAAAGGAATCGTTGATCATTTTAACTGTGCGTGTATGTGTGTATCACGTTATAAATATGTAATATAGATGCTTTTTCCCAATGAGAAACGTGAAGTGCAAAATGTTTGTATCTAAATTTTTTTTTTTTAAATCTTTTTATAAAATGTTTTTACTTTTATTTTTGAATTTTTTTTAAATCTATATAAAAATTTTTAAAATTTTTATTTTTGAATTTTTTTTAAGTATTTTTTTTCTTTAAATATTTTTGAACCAAATTAATTTTTTTTACTGTTTTTATTAAAACTTTGTATTATTATGAATTTTTCTGAAAATTTCGAACTTCCAACTGCGCTCGCTTTTATTCGCCTTTTGCGCGTTCTTCTTGCTAACACGCTCGCCGCGCTTTGCCTGTTTGTTTTTATTTCCAATTTTTGTGGTTTTTATTTGTTGTTGTTGTTTCACGTTTCGCCTGCGCTGTCTTCGCTCGCACAATGACTGGAGTGACATTTAATATCTGACTGATTGTGACTGCGCCGAGCGAAGCAATTCATTGGTATACGCTTACTGCTCGCTTTCGTTATTTGGACTGAAGTGAAGCTGTAGCAGCCAACAAGTTCCACATGCTACACTAGGCGCGCTCTCATGCCCGCCTGCCTGATGTGTTTCTGATGCCATGTGCCCTGATCCGCCTCCTATTATTTGCTCTGCACGTCCGCTTGCCAGTTGCGAGTTGTTGTTTTGTTCGTTCGTAGATAAAACAACTCATCTTTGCTCGTAAATTCAACTGACACTTACTAGACACACATACATACAGACGCACTGACGCTCGAGATAAAAAGTTATTTATCCCCTTTAACGGTCCATATCGAATTGTCCAAATATTTAGGTTTTTATTCTTTCTAGCTTTCAAACTGATAAGCAGAACATTTTTGTTGTAGCCGGTGATTTGATGGGCGTGGGGTAAGCTATATAAATAAGTGTGAGTCGACCAGTTAATAATGAAAAGAAAACTAGTTTTTGTTTTGCCGAGACGAACGCAAGTTTGAGTTAAAGAGAAGCCGAATGTTGTGATTAGAATTTTATACTCTTTCCTTATACAGGCTCGTTCCCTATACTATATATGCTCGATCTCCCTACGAAAAAGATTTTTTCAAACCTCGACTCTTCCTTCGATAAGCAATGACAAGACTTCGAGTATTTTTAGGCATTCTAAAGTTTCTCTGGAACTCCATCACCTTTTCAGAGTGGTCTTAAAACTTGTAGGTATTATAGAAGCGCCATACACAAGTGACATACAAAAAATGCTCTTTCTAGTATTTTTGAGCATGAAAGATCACACTTTTAATTCCTAAAATAACATACCAGGTACAGTTTTAGATATTAGAACTTGAACTCTTGGTTATTTGAAAAAGGCGACTGAGATAGCATAGCTGTTACATTTCAATTATTTGAACTCCTTGTGTACAGGTCCATGAAAGGTTGCCCAGTTCATAGTTCAATCATCTGTTGTCTTCAGAGTCAGTAGAACTTTAGGATTTTCAAATCTTTTGCCAAATCCTAATAGAGAACACTACAAGAATGTATTCATATTATATTATAGCAATCGTTTAAGCTTCAACCATATGCTATACAAAACGGGCTAGATAAAAGTTTTATCTTCACCAACATAACTTTATATCAAAACTTCGCAGCATGAGTCTGTTACTAATTAATGTCCAAATTGTGTACATCAAAACAGGTGTTAATCGTTGACTTGATCTCTAAGACTTAAGACGTCTTCTCTACCAAAAGAAACTTATAGATGAAAATATTATAATCAAGCAGATCAACAAGTAGAGTCTGATCAACATTGTCTGACAAAGAATGCAAAGCATTTCTGTTTGAAATCTTGTACAATTCTTAGATGGTGAGTTCCTTTAGAAAATTTTTTCCAGAAGGTTTTGCAAGCATTCCAAATTCAGCTTGTGAATAAGCTCAAGTAATAGCGTCTGCTCTCCTTTACCCCTTCCTTTACCGAAACTTTTTCCATGTTTAGAGTACTTTGAAGTCCTGGTTGTTGCAACACTTATCACTTCTAAAGCCTCACTAAAATTTCGTGATCTAACTCAGTATTTCACTTATTGGTAAGAACCGGCAATACTTTCTTATCATTTATGTCACAATTTCTACAAATGGAGCTCTTTATAGAAATAATTATTTTGTGCACAATCATTTAAAACTAGAGAAAGACGTTCTCAATAACAAACCAAGCTTATACATAGTTACCTTCTGCGAGCTTATGGTAAGACGAATGCCGTATAAACATATTTGTTAATTTTTAAAATTAATGTAAACACGAAAAAATTTATTAAATTACAGATAAAAGAGTATCGAATATTAAAGCTTCTACTCCAAAGCGTTCTTCTTCACAATGTGACGCTTTTAGCTGTGAGCAACGCTTTCAAATAGCAACGAATTTTAAATGATTCGCTTTGTGGTAACACAGTAAACGAGGTCAGTACTGAAGACTCAATTCGTTTCAGTGCTATCGGTCATTTTCATGGAATTTGAGTTTTGATGGAAAAGATCACGAAGCTGGCAAATATGTACGGGTATGTAAGTATGTGTATGTATTCTGATAACTGTAAGGTGTGCAACTTTTGGTGGCACGCGATTTAAGATTTTGAACTCTTTTGCACATATTTACAGAAGAACCGATCTATGAATGTGCTGTGATAAGACGTTTAATGAACTCATTTCCGACATTTTTTTGCCTCAATCGGTCTTGAAGTGTGTGCAATTGCGGTGATTGTGCTGAAATACGTCAGTGAACTGTTCTAATATTTGCCATTACGTACTTACTTCGATCCTTTAGAGAACCTAGCTCTTCTGTTTTCAAAGATCGGCGATATATTCAAGTGTTAGTTGAGCATTGTGAAGGTCAGAAACTTCTTATTGCATTTTTATTATATAAAAAGATCAACAAAACTATGTTTGACAAGGTGTTCCACTTGTTCAATTGTATAAAGTTCCTAAACTGAAGCTCAATTAAGAGAAATGATTAGGAAAGGAATGGAAACTTTTTACATACCAAAAGGATAGCTATATAAGCTCAGTAATGTCCAGATACTTAAGTCTTATTTGATTATCTATTGAGAACTAGATCATCATAAGTACTAATATAGTCTGAGTAATAAGAAGTATGTTCATAAAGTTGGGATCTTGGTTTTCCCGACTACAAGGAAGTTACAATTAAACATTTGATTGATTGATTGGATTGCCCATATTTTCATAGTTAACCAACGCTGGACAAAGGCTTCCTAGGCTTATTGTCATTAAGGAAGTGATGGATCTGTGAGTGAAGCTGGGTAGTTCACTAGTAGGTGAATGTAGATTTGAACATTCAAGTACTGATAATAACTCTTTGATGTTGCGTGTTAAGAAATTTGATTTCTAACCTTTGAATATCCGATGTTAATATAAGCAAAGTACACATTGTGCTTGGTTCTGCAGTAAGCTTAGTAAGTTCTGGGAGAATATGACGGTTTGCCATTTGATCATTTTCAGATTTTTTAGAGGCGAAAATATATATTATATATCAGTTATCAGTATGATGAGCTGAGTTGATTTAGACATGTCAGTCTGTCTACATATACGCGAATTGTTCCCTCAATTTTTGAGATATCAATCTGAAATTTCACACACGTCCTTTTCTCCCCAAAAAGCTGCTTATTTGTTGGAATTGACGATATCAGATCAATATAGCATATACAGCCATACAAACTGAACGATCAGAATCAAGTGCTTGTATGGAAAACTGTTTAATTTAACAAGATATCTTCACCAAATTTGGTTTGAACTATTGTCCAAGGCAACAGTGCAATCTTCGAGAAAATTGTTCAGACCGAAATAAAAAAGCTTCCAAACATCGCATCCTGCCATTATGAGACCCTGTATTTTGATTATGTGGCCAACACATAGATACAGGCAACTTTCAGATCTCTTATTTTACTATTTGTTTTGGCCATATATGACTCTACCGTTTATATATCGTTTAGTAACCGCTTTATCATTTTTCAATACAAAATTAATCAAAATCACAAAGCACAGTATGACATGTTATTGACACTGAAGAACTTGTTATACATATGTATGTGGTATAAATATGTATTATGTATTCACTATACATTCGTAATAATAATATGGCGAATTGATGTGTAAACACTTACATTTATTAATGTTTTTAAAATCACTGGAATTTCATATATTCTTGTATGCGTCAAAAAGCTTTTGAAAATATCTTCAAAATATACTTTTCGTTAAATTTTAGAATAGAAACTTTAATTCTTCACTAGAAATTTATTAAATATCAAACGAAATATTTTTTATAATCTTCACGCGTTGAACGGTTGTCAGTAAATGTCAAAGTAAAAGTAAAAATCAATGTTTTTATCAGTTAAACAGATTGCCAACTCTACGCCAAAATGCAAAGTGAAATGCAAAAGATAATTTTATTAAAGATAAATAAATCTAATTATTTCAAATAACTAATATGTACCCGTAATTGTCAAACAATGATTCATTGGGAGGCATTCTTCTATGAGTTTTGTGTGGTGATAATCCAAAATATTTTTATGACTAATATATATATGTATATATATTATAATAATTAGTCATACACACCCCTCATACTCAATGCTATTAGTAGCTATTGCACTTTATGATCTTTTGTTTATCATACATTTACTCAAATAGTTGGCAACTCTGTGTTTTAGTAAAGTGTCTTTAATCTTATCAGACTTATCGCAAACGCTACACCGCCGCGCTTTTGGTTTGCCAAGAAGAGTGAATTCTACTTTGTGTGCAATTAAGCAAATATATATATACATATATATATATATATATATATAAATATGTATATAAGTATACTGGTAGATCTATATTTATATGACATACTCAATAAATAGTGCAAAAGCTTTACATTGCTATCACGAATTATCACTTGTTATCAGAAGTTTGTTTGTGTAAATATCATTATTATATTCATATTACGGTTATATTACATTTAAAATGATTGGTAAAAATATTGTATTAATTTATATTTTTTTTTTTGAAGAAAGAACGACTGAAAATGCACAGTGGGGAAAAATAGAAAATATTTATATACTTTTATGAGGAAAGGGTTACGTGACCATAAAGTAATTAAAGGGGCAATATATTTAGCATTGAATATCGAATTAAAAATCTTGAGATTTACTCAAACCAGAAACGTATTAAGAAAGCCTATATGGCGTATTCCACGTGCAAGAGGATACTCAGCAGGAACTGGGAGCTAAAACCGAATATAGTCATGTAGATATATACGGTCGTCGTTAGACCAATTCTTACATTGAAGTATTGGTTTGGTGGCCTGCATTAATGAAACAAAATAAAAATATAATGGAATACAAAGTGCACCCTGTGCAGGGGTTACCAGGGCGATTAAATCATAAATCATGTCAAGAGTGAGGCGCTTAATATACATTTATGTTCCTGCACCAATTGCTCATAGATGTTTTCATACAGAAAGTGGCAAGATAAGTAGTTTCATTTTCTGCTATAATAATTAAGGAGATTGGTGGATGGAACAAGAAGAGTTATGGACATAGCGAATTCCGTACCACCTCGCTACTAATCTAAATAAATCAGATTCCTCAAAAAATTGGATTTCAATAGTTACTTTCCGGTGAGAATACCATCTAGACATGAATAGAGAAGAGGTTTAGTTGAGATAGTATCTCATTCTATACCGATGGATACAAAATGGATTGCGGTTTAGGGACGGGGTGTACTCCGAGGATCTTGACATAACTCTATCTTGCCGTTTATAAAATTCAGCTAGCATCTTCCAAGCGGAAGTAATAGTCATAGAGAAGGCCTGTAGAGTTCTACTGAACAACTACGGAAGGATATAGAGAGCGACCATTTACACAGACAGCCAGGCGGCACAACTAACCTTGTCGTTGCAAAATTTTAATTCCAGCATAGTAAACAAATGTAGGAAGGCTTTAAACTTACTCAACACAACTCCAATTGTCCATAGATAAATGCGAGGCAAAGATAACAGCATATTCACTAGGAACGATCAAACGAGGGCTCAAAACACAACTTGAATAAATAGCTGAGAATCGATGGAAATCTATGTACAACCAAATGTAGGATAGCGAAACAGATATAGCCAAAATATGACAAGAAAAAAGCTAAGGACTTATTACATAGGTCCAGGAAAGGTATATACAGACTTACTGCTACCATAACGGGATATTGGTTTCGAAGGGAGTAAGGAAACGGTTCTACGCTTCCTCAATGAGTGCCCAGCTCTATCACAAATCAGACATCAAACTGTTAGAATCCATCAGATATTAAATCTTGAATGTCTATATACAAAAAGCATAACGGAGATAAGTAGTTTCATTGAGGACACCGAATGGTTTGAACACAGCAATGAAACGTGATAGAATTGAGCCCGAAGGCACTTTTACCTACCTATCTACTTAAAACATATAAAATAAATAGGAATAACAATTATTTATTAAAAAAACAGATAAATCTTATATAAAATTCGTTTGAAATGAAATACCATAAAAAATTTGTGCCGTTAATAAAAAGTTCCTAAAATACTAAAAGAAATTAAGAATAAATAATTTTTTTTTGCTACCAAATTTTTTTACTTTGTTAACTAGTGTATGTATGTTTTAAAATAACTTATAAGTAAATAATATGCCATCTGATATTCTTAATGATATTTTAATTACAAATATGTTGTTTCAAATTATTTTATAATTATATTATTTTACCTTAACCCTCTAAAATGTAGCATACCTTTTGGCGTAGAGTAAAATACTTCCAAAGTTGGCTAACTTCATTCGGATTTTGAGATTATCAGGTGAAATCGAATATTTTATTTGTATAACCGAATATCAGTACGTAATTAAATATGATTTTGTATATTCGCATCTATATTAAGCAAATTTTATTATACTCGGATAACGTATATTACCC